GCTCTGAATTTCACAGTTCATGATGGGTGTTCATCTGATGCTCACTGGTTTGGGAAGGGTGCATGAAATGGATCAGCCTTCAATCCAAGGCATTCAATAAGGATGGAGTAGTTAATAGGGATTTAATTGTATAATTTAAGGCTAGTTTGGTTTTCAAAGGAGTTTTGCCACTATGTAATTTAGAAGCCACTAATTCTTGTTTGTTAATCTCTTAATATGCACAAGCCTTAAAATCTTTTGCATAAAAAACTTTGTGCTGGTCCTGGGCTCTTTGCTTTCTCAGGGCACATGTCTGCTGCTGAGCCTTGCACCAGGGAAAGAGAACTAAGAAAAGTAGACTTAGCAGAGTGCCAAGTGTCACAGCCAGAGAAGTTGGTCACCAACAGGCACGAAGCAACTTGTATGCAAGCTGGCAGGGCCCAGCTGCTGTGCCAGCTGCTGAACAAATCCTCTTCACTTCCCTCCCCTCTGCCGGGCTGCCTCCCACACGCTGGGCTGACAAGGGCTGCATTGCCGCATCCGACACTTCATTCCGTGCTTTGAAAGTCCAGTCTAATTGAGTGACAAAGTCATTCTGCCTTGCATCTCAGCAAAGGATTTTACTCTAACGACCCTTTCATCTTCTGACCTTCTCCTCTTTGTCCTTCCTGAAGCCTGGCTAGCCTGAGACCCAAAAGGGCACATGAAGGAGCAGATGAACCTTTCCAAAGGCACATCGTGTGCTCTCCCAGCCTCAGCCCTGCCAGTGCAGTTGGTGCTTAGGGGAAGCATCTGGTTGGGAATCAGGAGAGGGAACTGCCAGCACAGCCAGGCACCCTGGGAAGAGCCCAGCCCCTCCACAAACACAGTGCCATGCAAGAACCATCACTATCCTGCTCACGGCACTCTCCATCAAAGGACAAACTCTTCTCATGTTCCACAAGCAGGCTTTGGGTTACAACCACTTTGACCAGTCCTGTTCCCCAAAGGCTAAAAAATTAGGAGCAGGGCCCTCTTGCACAAACACTGCAAAAACATGACCTGGCAAGGTCCCTGTCCTTGCCTGCTTCCAGACTGAACACAATGTAAGAAAAGGGTGGAACAAAAAGTGGAGATGGGAAGGATAAGGCTTCCAGGAATCAGATAATGTTACTCAGGCTGGCTATACTGATGAGTGTTACATGAATCACCTGTTCAACTGCTTAGATCTGATGAGGCAATTTCTTAGAAACAAAAAGCAAGAAGAGTAGTAAAAGTTAAAAAATAATTTAAAAATACAGAACCATCATGAAGAATTTAAATAAGGGGAATCTAGTATGGTCCTTAGGTATATCACTCCCTGAATTTAGTATTAGTACCAATCTTGCCAGAAGAACAGTAGATCAATCTCTCTTGCACTGCTTTGCTTTCACAAACTTTGTCTTTAAGTTTTAGCATTCCTATCACTTCTGCAGAACTCTCCCTGCAGTCCCTTTTGCCATCTGCTCACATAGAAGAGAGGCAAAAAGCAGAATTGTATAGCCATCATGATTCCCAGTGATGGATGCCCAACTGTGTTTTCCTTTCTATTCTGCCTAAATATCCTCTTCTTCCTCTCACGATCCCCTATTCTCATCAGTTTAGGAGAGTACAATCCTGTCGTTGCCCACACCAAAGCGTAAACAAGCAATTTCTGAGACACTTCCCAGTTGGGATGCCACTGATTCAGTATGTGGTGTTTTCCTTCCAAAGTACACAGATAACCTCAGAAAGTGTCTATTTTTAAAAGAACCGTCAAAATGCCCTGTTAAAATTTTCATGCCAGTGTGGGTGATTCCTCTCCACCTCCCTGAAATCCCCCTGCTATCTTAAACTGGTGCTTTCTTTCTCCACCTCTGCCCTAACCAGCACAATCCACCCTGTAGACCATGCATCCTCCAAGATGGTCCCATCTGTTCTGTTACCTTTCCAGAAGAGGAGGGGGGAACTGCTGCTTGGGCAGCATGTAGTACTTATCACAGGAGTAAAGGACCAGTGTTCCCTGTGCCTGTGAACAGCTCAGCACTTAAACCTTCTCCATAAGGTAGGAAGAAGAGGTTGGTGCTCATCACAGAAGTCAAGTACTATTATATTATAACAGCCTGCATGATGGCCCCAACAAAGAAGGCTGGAATTGCCCAGCCTCAGTGATTAGACATGATTATGAAGTACTGAAAACACCATGTTAATTCCGCACCAGAAGTGGCTTCATTTCCATGGAAGACATTATAGACTTTACCCTTTGCAAATCTCTATGAAGAAAAGCATGGAGTAAATGTAAGTATAAATTGCAATATATCTTTATATTTATGTCTTATGCAGCACTATATTCACTGCTTGGTAGGTATGTACACATATATACATATTCAATGTATATATAAATATATAATATTTAAATATTATATGTTATATAGATTATATATAATATTTTTATATATATAAATATCAGAGGAAAAACCAACCAATGTATAGAAATTACTTTTCTCTTGCAATGAAGCTAATTATCATCAGGTGAAATGCAAGGATTCTTTTTATTAGCTTATACCCTTCTGGAACGGGGATTTTAGTCTAAGAAGCAATGGCAGGCTCTGTTCTGAGGGTATAAGGGCTACTTTGCTCCTCATACTTTATTCTGTGCAAGCATCCGAAAGGAAACCATCTGGTCTGAAAGATGGCTATGCTATCAATTATCTGTGAGGATGCACTTTCAAGGGAAATGATATCCTTTCAAGGTTTGGCTAGTTTGTTTAGACAACTTTACCAGTGGAGAGTTTTCTTTTAGTTGCCTTAAGCGTGTAAAATTTCAAGACTGAATATTTTTGAAATAACAAAGTTAAAAAAGTCAAACAGGAATGTGAAACGCAAGCTGGCTATAGACTCTGCTATCAATGGCATACATTGTTCTGCCAGAAATCACTAACGGGGAGGTATTCAAATCCCTAGATAAGTATAGAGAGAATGCCACAGAGGAAGAGATGTCACCTGATAAGTTTATGGAGTGCAGAAGCCAGATGGGGGGACTAACAGAGGAAAAGTAGAAATAAGGATTTTGCTCCTACACACACCACAGAAAACTACTCATCCACAAAAAATAAAAGTGCCAGTACAGCCTGTGGGTGTAGCAGCTCAGAGACAGCCCCTCTCACCAAAACATGTCCAGCCTTGGCTCTGGCATCTACAACCATAGATACAACCATAGTCAAGGAAAAGAGTATTACATCTATAGTATTGACTGCTGATGTCTCTGCATCTCTCCTATCCTCTTCTGAAGGACTGGGAAACTGTGATGGGCAGGAACAGCTGGCTTAGCCAGGCTAGGTACAAGTTCCAGCCAGGCTAGGTACAACTTCCAGAAAAACTAAAGATTTGAGATCAGGAGTCAAATTTGCATGATCTCCAGGGCGCCAGACCCGCCTGTTGGAAATTCTCCATTATTGTCAGTATATCACAGGCAATGTAACGGCAAATATCTGCATTTGTTAGAATAAATAAGGCCTCTCACATCCCAAAAAGTGTTCAGCTGGGAGCAAATAACTAGTTCTCAAGATGTACTTCTGATCTCTCACAACTTCTGCCAGGGTCACGTCCATTTCAAAATATATTTCTTACATTTCTCAGTTTGCACTTGGGCCTCAGTTTGCACATTTAATGTTTAACTGCTTGATTTTATATCTTTATAAAACACTTGTAATGGTAGTTTCCTACCTGAACAGACAGTTTCCAACTGAACAGACAGTTGTTGTGTTCTTTCCATACAGCTAGAATAAACTGTTTCAAACTTACAGTAATTCTGATCTCTTTTTCGTGGGTTTTTTTTTGTCATCATGCAGCACAGTCTTCAAAATATATCCATAGCCATCACTTCCATTTGAAATAAGTAACCTGATTTTTAGAAAATACTTGCATTCTCACATTCTACACATCTAAGGAACTCCATTAAAACTGACTGATACCACCGCCATCTTACTCACCACCAACTGGATTAGTCAGCTATAGCTCAGTTCCTCCAAGAAGGGTGAAAAGCAAGAGTAAGTATCAGTTGCAAGCACTTAATTGAACCAGGAAACTACTAAGTACCTCTAATTACTGATATGTGTTTTTACCTGCAGCTATTAGTTACAGCTGCTTCTCATTCTTGTGTCCTGGAACAGCTGTGCTGCTGCCATCATTTAGGAAAAGTCCTGAAGAGGACAACTGCAGCTTGATAAACCTTCTTAAACCTTCTGTGATCTACCAAGAGTTTTTCTTGAGACCTTGCTGCAGAACATACACATCTCTGTACTAGCATCAACCTTTCACTCCATCCAGATCCTCCAAATACAAAGGGCAAGTTCTGCCTGAAGATCTCTTCTTCTGAGTGCAGTCAGATACCTATCTCAGCATTATTTCCAGAATATGGAAGTACAAGTAGTTTTAGGGCTCTGGAACAAAACCACTGCAGCCACCTAACCCAGGATGCTGATCTCATGTGAGTTCACTCTTCAAGCTCAAATTGTTCCAAGAATTGTGAAGGCTAATCTTTATGTCAGTAAGCTTTATGCTAGACCAGATACTTTTGATTTGCACCACGTGAATCAGGTATCATCTCTCCAGAGTAAATCAGGGAAAAAATATCAGCAGTTCAGCTGGGTGGCATGGGTAATCCGGATGAAAATGCACTCTTACGTACAGAGGGAGCAAACCACAAGCAGCAAAACCCACCATATCCCCACCCTCTGCCCTAGCAATGTCCTCAGACATCGTTCCCAAAGACTGAGACGTGGTTATTGTCCATGCTCACCCAGAGCCTGTTCTGTGAGCTTTACTGCCATTCTAGCACGGGCTTTGTGCCATTAGCTATCGCTAACCAGCAGCCAACAAATACAGGTCTGTTTGGGCTGATCAGCTTGAATGCATCCCATCCCCTGCCTCAAATCCCCCATTCATTAACAGTATGCAGCATCTCTCCCTTGAAGTCTTCAACCAGGTCATCAGATCTGGTCCATACAGCACCCGGCACTGACCTGAGCAGCATGATGAGATGTGGAATCCACAGGAGGCAGGAACTGCAGTATCTTACTCCTGGTCTGACACCAACTCATCAGATCACCTTGGGGATCCCAAGTCATGCCTCCTCTCCTGAGTTTTCCCAGCTGTAAGATATGGATAATAACGTCCTTTGAAGTCTATCCAGATCCTTTGATAAAGGATAAAGATTTTAAAACATTATTCTTGACTGCACACTCTCCAGGACATGGATTGCGTCTTTGGCATGGGAAATCCTCTAGCACACCACAAGTGCTAACAGTGCCCCAAAGAGAAAACAACAAAACTCTGCATCAGCTTATCATTACAGGCACTGGAAAAACACACGTTGGTTGCTGATACACTCTTGGATTTTGGCAAGCCTGTGTGTTATTTCTGAACACAATCACAAATTGCTTTGAGTTCAAAGAATTATTCAGCACTGCTCAGGGTTATCTAGGAGGCAAGCCAACCTCCGGCTGTATCACCCTGTGTCCTTGGGAATATTCCTCCGGTTTGATCTAAAGCTGAGTGGATTGTGAAGACACACAGCTGGGTTTCTGGACATCATCTAGTACTATACATGCTCCAATCAATGTATTTTACTTGCCAAGGAGAATTTTAATTTTGTTATTTAGGAGAATGAATGGATGTAATGGGTATTTACATTGGCTCCGTGCAATCATTTTTTTTATTTTCTTCCCTTCGATTAAAGATCACATAATATTTGTACTAAAGCAGCGATGACCGAAGGAGCACACACAGCTCCAACTCAGAACGGGGAGGGTCGTTCTTATGTCACTGCTGTCAACTTAGGACAAAAACTGCGATGAATAGGAAAAAATAAATAAATCTTTTGTTTTCAAAGCTAAATAGCCAAAAATGCAGCTAGAAAAGTTCCATAAAGGTTTAGCTTTCAGCAACACATAGTGGAAACAAAGCTGATTCCTCCTCTCGCTGTGCCCCCTGACCTCAGAGTTTTATATGTCACTGCCTAGAAGGCCTCTAGTCACGGCAGCCTCTGTGCATGGCTTTCCCAGGACTTTCAGGGTTTTCCTCGGGGGATGCTTGAGTGGGGGAGAAAAGGGCTTTAGCGCTAGCCTTCGATTTAAAATAGCAGGGGGAGTTTACTGATTAATATTCATGAGGAGGGAACAGTCTGCTTTTTGTTACCGCAGCCGTTTCCCATGCAAGGTGGGTTGAGAGGGAGGAATACATTAAGGAACATATCCTACTGTCAGAAGTACCACCACCTTTAGAGATACAGAGAATCAGGAGCCTAAGCAGAGCTCAGATGGTAAATATTTAACAGGGAAAGGACTTGTCTTCTCTTTCTGCCTGTATATATTAAACTCATTCTTTCATTTTAACAAGGGAACTGTGTTTCCCTGCCCTCTCTACCCCCGCTCCTGCCCCCTACTTAAATTCTGGGCCTAAATGGATAGATCACAACATGCTATAAATCCCCTCCACCACTAACACAACTGAATGTATTTCCCTGTTGGTTTTGAAAGTCACAGCTAGTCCTCCTCTGGTGGGAAATGTTACTTCTGTTCACTGGGGCACAAGGAAGAGCAGGACTGGTTCGCTTGTACTTACACCAGAAAATTTCTGGTATATATAACCCAGCTGAAATCCATGATTCTCATACCTGTCTAAAGCTGGCATATGAAAAAAGCACAAACGAGGCAACATTTTTCAAATGCAGGTGCTGATTTGGGGTGCCTCTGAGTTGTGGGCATTCAGCTCAAAATACACTGCTTCTCATGCAAAAGCACAGAGCACGGTCCTCCCTTTGACTTCCTCAGTCCTTCTGGCACCTCCATCAGCATCTGAGTTCAGGGATAGCAGAACCAGGAGCAATTTCTGAAAATGACAGTGAAGGGTCCAAAGCCTCTCCTGCGAGGATAAGCAAGGACTCCTTCATTTCTGTGCAATCACTGGGAAAATACACCAGCTCATCCAGCAAAGTCAGCTATTATTCAGTAACTCCTTAGAGATAAGAGATTGTAAGAGCTGCGGTACACCTCCATTTCCGACACCAGAAGTGGATTTGGGGAAGTGCTGATAGACCTCTTCAACAACAAATTTATGTCTATGCTCCTGACCCTATAATAACAAGATAGGAGCAAAGTAGCTGAGGGGGCATCTGAAAGAATTAGCATTTGACATCTTCTCCTGTGCTGAGTGAAACAAACTGTGCTGGCAAAACCACGTTGACTGACTGAGCACCAGAGCAGTACATGGGGACTCCCAGGACCTTGCAGATAAAATGAGCCCTGTGAGCTCATACACTTGAAAATGTTGACCCAAGCTGATCAGGAGCAGACTACAGCAGCGCACAACTGAGACCACATCTGGATGCCAAGAGAGCATCACCCTGACTGTCACCTTTTCTTCTTACCTCCACAGAACAAAAGAGCATTAGTGGATCAAAAATGGCAAGGCATATGGTCTGTGTAGGGGGCAACAAGGGCTATACTCTGAGAGCCAGGTTAGCTCTGCCACCAGCTGCTGGCAGAGCCTGGGGTCAGGCTGGGGCTGGATGAACTGTGATCCCGGATCAGCCTCACTGTTTTGACAGATGTCCTTAGACTAAGTGCAGTTAAATGGATCAATACAGCTAATTCACCTGGGTAGGGGGAGGAAGGGATAGGGGAAGGAAGGAGAGAAGAGAGAAATGACCCGTTTCACCTACAGCAGCTGTCCCTGCCCCAAAGGCCCTGCACCAGTGCAATACCCCTCTATTCCTTCAAGATCCAGTTAGAAACTTTTGCCAGTAGAAACATCCTGGGTTTGCACTTTTACATAGACAAAACCATGAGGTAGCTGTACCAACAGAAGTAGTTTTGTTCGTGTAACCTCTGTTTCCTGGGAACTGAAACATGTCACTTTGGCAAAGGACATCTACTACCATGAGAAGCTTCATTTCCACTGCTCAGGCAGCAAAGCTGCTCTGGCAGTGCAGATAAAGCAGACAATGAGGCCCAGAGTTCCTTGCCGAAACCAGAGAAGCGAGGTTAGAATTTGGTGTAAGGATGACATGAAGCCTAAGTAGACATTGAACGCAGATAAGAGTAAGTTTTATCACCACGCCAGCCAAGGCTAAGAAGAAAGGAACTTTCCAAACATGGCTGGGGAAAGGAGGGTACGGTGCCCCCTGCACCATCTCCCTGACCTTGACTCCAGTCCGCTCCCAGCCGGAGCAGAGCACGCTTTGCTGGAGCTGTTGCTTTGAAGAACTGCGCCTGACTCCGAGCTGATTGTGAATGCAGAGCATGACTCATTTTAAACAGGTAGGCCAAGAAAACCTCCATCTCTCTGCCTTTAGGGACCTGTTTCAGAATACAGAGGACTTACCTTGAAAATGTTTTCCATACTGTTTGATGTTGTGGAACCGTCAGTGGGAATACTGAGAGCATTAGATGCCTGGGTGGCTTATTGATTTGTTCTACTGTTATTAAATTGGCTAAAGTTCATTCAGAAGTTTCCCTTCCCCACACTCAAATACTTATTTCGAATGCTGCCTTGAGAGGGGCAAACGGGGGAAAAAAAAGAAGGGAACTTGAAAGTTGAAAAATTTATCTAAAGAAACCTGTGATGTGAAAATGGACTTCATAAAAAGTATATATTATTTATATCACTAACATAGTCTTCTGGGTTCAATATTTCTTGCTACTTAAATTCTGGGAAAAGGTGGGTTTGTGTATGCATGATGTTTCTAATGACCACACGCACACATACGTGTGTGTGTCTGTGTACAAGGAAGAGAGACCTGAAGAGAATAAGAATGAGTCTACTGCAGACAAGAATATTTTTTTTGTCAACCAAAGAAATAAAAGAAAACTTAGACCATTGACCTTTTTTTGTGAGTAAGAAAGTTGAGAATTACATTCTTGGTAACCTATACCCATGAAGTAATGACAGACAAATTAAATGGCTGAGGTCACACAAGACCAGTCCAGACTTTTCCCCTTCCCCCAACAGTAAGATTAGACACCCTGGGAGATTTCCGAGAAACTTTACAAATTGAAGTAGAAGCTGTGAAAACCGCCAGTGCTCAGCAGCTCAGAAAAGGACCCTGGGGTTTCACGAGGGCAGGGTATGTATGACTCAGGCCTGGCTGAAGGAGCATGGAGAAAGAAGGGGGGCAGCACCGGTGCTGTCATGTCCTGGGTACTCCCCCAGTACAGGTGGGACCTGCTGCCAAACGGGCTTGGGACGGGTTGGGGAAAACTAAAGAGGGGGGATAAGACCTGAGTATCTCCTTGGATCTAATTCCAGATTTATCCATTCTGATATGACCCAGAGATAACTCTGGGTCATAGTTATCTCTGACTAGATAACTATGACTTGTATCTGTCAGAATAGGTAGGAGACCTGAATTTGATCCCACTCTTTGCTTCTTCTGTTGCTGAAACAGAAATTAATTTCCATGTTACTAACCCTAATGATACTTAACTTTTGTTATGGTCTCGATAAGAGAGCAGGAGAGATTTTGAGATTTTTTTTTTCAAAAAAAACTTTTCTCCACCACCTCTGGTCCTTAAGAAAAACACCACAGATGTCATCTTTTACAACTATACAATTTTTCTCTGAAAAGTTGTGATAAAACAGCTTATTACCCCTCAGCACAACATTTAAAGGCACAAGTAGGTTAAAACTGATAGTTCTTCCTGATGTTTAATTTTGGACATATTTTAAGATGCATTTGTGTTTGAATGAGATCTTTTTTTAAAAATCATTAATTGAAGCTGTCTGGTTCTGTCATCCTGCCCTCCCATTCTCCACCCAATGAATCAGTAAATTGTAACAAGAGAATCTGGCTAAACAAGTTCCTAATTCAAACGCCATCTTATGGACAAAGAAGTCTTTGAAAATAGTATCCGTCATCTGGCTCCTTGCGATGGAGTGGAAAGTTGTGTTTTTACTGTTCACGGAATTCATCTCTCCCTTCAGCGCCGTCAAATGTGGAGTGCGGGGCAGTATGAGAAAGGGGAGTTCAGGGGGAGGAGAGGGAAGGGGGAGGCCTCGGTCTGAGGATCCCAGGGCCAGCAATTTCCTGCCCATTAACACAGAACTACTGATAATATTTCTCCCAAGAATAGAGTTCCAGATAAGGAGAAAT